AAACAAGAGAATAATGAATAGAGCAATGAATAGAGCATCAGTCATGTTCATCACAATTCTGTCCGTTATGAGGAAAACACGAACAACACCCTGAATAATAATCGTAGTCAAACTCAAATGTTTACTCACCATGTGTAAGTCAAGAGAACTCAGAAGTTAACATGAGGGCTAGTATGTGAGGCTGAACTTAAGGCTAGCTCTCACCCTAAGTGTTGGAATATCCTTTAAATTGACCCAAACTTGAGGCTAATTTTTCGGAATTAGCACAGAGCGCCATTGGCTTTGTAACGATTTACTTAAAATCGGTCATTATGTCAGGCACCAAGAAGGGTCAGGAACCATTTTGAAAGCAAAGTAAAAGAAATGGCGTTTTTAAAATACAATTTTCGAACTGACACTGCGAGACCGGTGGTTTGTGCTGTGAAAGAAGCATGCGGCTCTCCTTCTTATGAGGCACTTTGGACTCCACATTACCAGCACCTCCCAGCAACTGTGGTGGTCATCTATTTTTGAACTTCAAACTTTAGCGCCCAGTGATGATGTCGATTCCTTCCAAGTTTCGAAAATAAGGGGCCAGAACATTATGTTCGTTTTTGCAACATTATTTCACGGTCCAGGAGTAAAAAAGCAACTGTTTAATTGCTAGACAGTTAGAGCCAATAGGCACCAGAAACAAAGGTGTTTGAATGATCTATAAACTGACGTCCATCGAGCGTTAAACAAGGCTAAATGTTGCATAACTAATAACATAACGTCAATGTTTTCATTGACTGTGCATCTGCGCTCGAATCAGTGTAATTTTCCGGCGTTCGGCTGGCGTAGGTAGAGCAGGACCTAAGGGTAACAAATCGGTTACGGCGTCATAGACTTTGAGCGGACTTTGTGAACTTTGTGCAAACGTGTTCCAATGAACAACTCAATGGGGACGTCCAATGCTGTTTGTCTGTGAGACGTTTGCGCGCGCTCAAGATGACCTATGCGTCAGCAACCAGGAAGTCAAAATCTCCCTTGAAATTTATTTTGAATAAACTGCGGATGAACACTAAGAAAAGTAGAAAGAAGTGAAAAAACAAGAAAAACGGTAATAAAAGTTGGGATACTTAAACTATTGAGAGGCAAAACAGAAATTTGTGGAGAATAGCAAAAGAGAAAAGTCCACGTAACCTTTTCACTCGATGAACCAACACACACTACGTACCAAACACCATCGGCAATTCATCCTCTAAAAATATGGTAAAGATGTGGCGTCCTTTTGGCGCTTGACTGCCATGCCGCATAGCTGGGATGTGCCAAGTGAGACAATCCCAGTATTTTCAAGATTGCTTAAATTGAGCCACGGGTCTCCCGGTCAATAAATTCGTGCGTGAATCATCTGAACCTGTGTATCGAGATACCATATTTTCTAATGTTAGGTGATTGCACACCCAAGCAAACTTTGGCTGCTAACAACAGCTTACTTGTGCCAGCACTAATGAATGCTAATGAAACTGTATCAGCCAGTAAATGACTCTGTTTGCAACCGTTGTATTTCATTGTTTGGGGTTTTTATTCCTAGTTCGCGTGCCGATCGCGTGAAAAAAGCTATCTTGATTTTTGTTGTGTTTCGTTGCTTTGTTTTCCAGCATTTATTTTACCTGATATTGAAGTTGGCACTGAGCTGGCTTGCAGACCTTGTTCTCTTTCTGATATCCCCGTTTTTACTAAATATGTCTTTCGCTAATATAAACGACAGTGGTTAACATTAAGGGGCGGTCCAGGGTTTGCTGGAGAAATAATTGGCCCAAAGCTAGGTGAAAGCGGCATTCATTAACAGCGAGTGTGGCGCACGGTCTGGAGATGTGCGAGTTCTATTCGTCTTCGAGAGAGAAAAATGGTGCCATCAGCGATTAATCCACCGCTTGCATCCGAATTCACTAGACCATTTATTTTTTATACTCCCCTGAATTACCCATATATCATCTTGCTACCTTAAACGCACTTGACCAAATATATCCGACTGAATATATCCACTACCTACTCGTTTTTCATACAATAGAGCCTGTTGGAAGCTTCTGAGTTTAATTTTCTGATTGGCTATTAGCCTAGAGGCAGTAAGCGGTAAGAACTTTTGTGTAGACAGGCGGACATTTATGACAGCAGTAAGGTCAAAGTTACATCTACCTGACCCATGACCCCATTTTTGCTTGACGCTTGAGCTTGTAAGTGCTGCTAACATGGTGATTTCTGTCTAATTCGGGCAGCAAACTGGCTTATACTCGAAGCCTCTTCCTCCACTTGACTGAATACCACCACTCATCCCAAAATAATTGGTCCATTTTGGACACTTGTGGGGCGCCCACTAAAAGAAATTAGGAAATCGAACCTTATAAGCGGGTTGCGTCGATTAAGTACCTGTGAGCCCTTGATGCACACCAATCTAGGGTAACATTTTACCGAAACCCGGGGACGGCGCAATCCAAGATGTCCAAAGTGTTCTCCCGTTTTTCAACTCTAGTTGGTACCTCTGTGCAGTCATAATTTTTACTAAAGACGGTGAGTTTCTGCGTGAAACAAGTGTAAGCAGTTGTAATGACGAGAGCTATATGGATAGACTGGAAAGATATATGGCTGAATTGTCAAGCTAGGAAGCACTGCCACACGAAAAACAGGAGAAGAGGGGCAGATGCATTTGAGCCTTCAACGCCGTTAAGGTATTGTTGCGATTGAACCCAACATCCATCCTCAACGGTTAGGGGCCTAGAACGCTGGTGAAGTGTTATGTGGCCAACAGCAAACACAACTTCGACGCCAAAGTGATAACGGTTTTATTCTCGTAACGAGTGGCCAAAAATTTTCCGGACAACCCAAGTCAAAAGGACAGAGAATCCCCCGGTACCTCACCGACATGCTGATCAATAGATCAGAATCCAAATGATTTGGGATCTAATGTTGGTTCTTCGTCTTCTGCCTATGTCAACCCGCCCAAGAAAGGAAGTATATTTGCCCAGTAAGGACGGTTTATGAGGAATAAGCAGTGGGCCGTGGCTAACACGTCGCCGGTATGGAGATGATTCAGAGTGGCTGGCTTCGGAACGCGTTCCATCACCTCACACAATATGCTAGTGAGGCTAATAAGCTTGTGGCTGCCGGGTGGTGCTTCTTTATTGACTGCGTAAGTTGAGGTAAAAATTCTTTCCTTCCAAACATAGAGCAGGTCGCTCTGGTCGAATGAATGAGAGAACGTCAGGTTGATATTATAAGTTGTGCTGGTTTTTTTGTATTTTTGAACCCCAAGATGCATTTTTCTGCGCCTAACGTACTTGTGTAAACAACAATGTATATTTCTAACTTGTGGGTGGCATACCGTCGGGCATGATCTTACTTTTACAGTCAGAATGAATCATTACTCGGGGATTTGCAGGTACCGGAGGGTGAACGAAAAAGAAGAAAATATCATCAACATCGGACAGGATCTGATCAGAAAATAATAATAATCTGTTCGTTTTCCAATTTGCAGGAAAAATGTTAATTGATGCATGATCGGGTCGTTACAACCTGAACGTGGGAAGCAACAACACAACGGGGAGGAAGGTACAAACAAAGAGGCACGCTTATTACATAAAGGGTCACCAAAGTTGCAGCCACTAAAAGAACTGTAACAATCGGCATAAGGTCCCGCTAGTTCAAGGATGAAGCCGGATGACATAAACTAAGAACGGGAATCATAGCTGCCATGAGTGACCCATGAGTGAAGGTAGTGTAAGTGTCCACAGTCTCCAAACGGAAAATTGAGGATGGAGATGGAATAATTTCGAAATAGAAGCAAATAGCGTGTTTCGTCTCGAAAATATGGCTTAATTTGTAATTAAGTACACTCAGTGGTGCCACTGCTGTAGGAAATTCGGGTGAAAATAACGGGTTCTGTGGGAAGATAGCGCTAATACATGCGGCCAGGCGAACACCATATATGGAATTAAACGTGTGAGCCATGCAAACCGAACTTGCAGCAGAAAACCAGGTTGGTCAAATATGAACGAAAACTTCATCGGGTTGGATTGAACCCATCCCAGAGGCGGTTAGGGCCAGTTGAAAAATCTGCTCGTAGTTGCAATCACAGGCTCGAACCAGTGGGAGGTTGCGGTCGAGATTCTGAAGAAAATAGTTGTGGGAGTGCCACGCCATCATTGTCCTGACATATTTCGATTTATAGACAGCCCCATAACGGTCGTCAAGATCCCGCAATCGGAGAGGGGATACGCATTTCCGTGCCGGCAGGATCTGGGTTAGGCGAGGAGATTGACCAGATGGGTTAGGCCAGTGTCAGGCCACGGATAATTTCCTTTCAGTGAGGGGACCATGTTACTGAAGACCGGGAACCAGCCAGATTGAATAAATAACAGTTGTATGGGGCGTTTTGGCAACTACAACCGAAGTTTGAAGCTTGGAAAGAGGGGAATGAGGAAGGCACATGATGAAAGCAGTATCGTCTGTTAAGTGCCAGGTGGTGTCAGATAAAACGGTGTCAATGAAAAAATGTAAAAGGGAATGACAACACGCTAAATTGACCCAGAAAAAGGTGGATGTGTCTGCTGACCCAGAAACCAATTGCTAGCTAGGCCAGCTTAGATACCTAGCTTTGGGAAGGTAAGGACTTTGCCGAGGAGTCAATTGGAGGTAGGCTAGCAATTGGACAGGTTGGGACGGGTGATCACATGGCGGTAATCCCCATCCTACCGAAAGAATCCGAACATGGGGTCTCCTTGGGCAAATAGTTGGTTATTTGGAACAGGTATTGTAGACAATTAATAAGTGATCCAGCACCAGCTTCCGAGGTAATGGATAAGAACCATTATTTTACTGAAATCTACTACGTCGGCTTAACAGGACGGTAAGAGTAAGGGTCTCTAGTCATCTGGTCGCTACTGCCAGCTTCAGAGAACAAGAGGAAGGATGATTAAGTGACCCTGAGGTTGTGCAACCCAACTAACGCAAAGGTGGCAACTCCTTGCACGTCGAATTTAGCCATTGGCCTCTCCCAGTACCTTCAGTCTACCCATGCATATATATATTAAATCAAACTGGAGGACAGCCGTCATTCGCTTGTATTTCTTGACCCAGCGAGATAGGTGAGAACCGGAACAAGTCCAATTTAGCTACAGACAAACAATAACGGTGCACTTTTATGGTTTTACTGAATTAAAGATCAGGCTCAGAACCACCAGGCGATGAGCGATGCACCCGTGCTGCTAAAGGCGTAGCGAGTACACAAACACGTGGCGCAACGTAACAAGGCGACTCTCCCTGCAGGGCGTACACGTCCACCACACGAGGTCTCTATTCCTCGTGCATGTTATCAGATCTGCGGGGTTACAATCCATTAAGTATTCACACTGCGGTTTGTACATTGCCAAATGACTTAAGCTACCAGATGTTTTATCCGGTCGGGGGGAAGCCTGACCATTAAAATAGCTCAGTCATTTCGAACAAGCAAGCAGCAAAAAGCTGCACCCGTGCTACTAAAGGCGTAGCGAGTACACAAACACGTGGCGCAACGTAACAAGGCGACTCTCCCTGCAGGGCGTACACGTCCACCACACGAGGTCTCTATTCCTCGTGCATGTTATCAGATCTGCGGGGTTACAATCCATTAAGTATTCACACTGCGGTTTGTACATTGCCAAATGACTTAAGCTACCAGATGTTTTATCCGGTCGGGGGGAAGCCTGACCATTAAAATAGCTCAGTCATTTCGAACAAGCAAGCAGCAAAAAGCCACCGACTTAGGCAGTCGTGGAAGCAAATGAAACGGCAACTATCTTTTGGGCTATGGGAGTAGAGCCTGTGTACTATGGGCAAAACGGCGAGGAAGCACAGGTGTACGCCGCTACGTCAAGTAGAGGCACTCCAGAGTGTTAGTGCGTCTGTGAATGATTTGGCTGTGTAACTAAACAAGCATTTCATTCAAAGCTCATTTTCAGACCTACCATTTTATGTGTGCACTGCGCGTGGTCAGAGGATTCAAATTATTTGGAACAGCAAAGAACTAAGACTTCGCTTTGACTAAGGTCTATTAAATCCAGGGAAAGCAATGTACCAGACATTAAACAGAACTTACAGAGTTATTCAGGGATGGTACCAAGCTTGAAAGAACTAGGAATAAGTTGGCTGGGTACGAAAGCTTTAGGCCGGAGGTAAGGAAATACAACTAGATCATTGGAGACAGGTTTCAAGACAAGTAGGATGACAGGCGCTAGACACTCACTGCAACACAATCACGCTTCAGAAAGCAGCTGTATATATAGTCGCAAGAAGTGAACTTCTGCATAAGAGATAGATAACGTGGCCATTTATAGACAAAACATTAAGGTGGTGTTTGTCTCAGTTGTGAGTTAGTGCTGAGTGTTCAAGCTTTTGTTTGTACATGCTAGGACCTAGTGATGGGACAGTTAGGGGGAGAGCGCAAACTAAAAGGATTTAGGGCCTATTTCAAAAAGTATCCAGTGTAAGCCGCATCGCGAAGAGAAGCTTGGCTCCTCCAATGGAAAGGTAAGAATCGAAAGCCTACATGAGATGATGTAGTACCTAAATGGGAGGGAAGCTCTTTCCATAGATTGGAATACAAGCAAATTAAAAAGTTTTGCCCAAAGACGGTTTGACGGGTCGACAATGGGACGAAAATACAGAGTTACGGATATTATAGGGCAAGAAGGAAAAAATTCAGGACCGCAGTCAGCTACATAAGCCCGCCGGTAGATAAGACAATGCAGAAGGCCTAGGTTAAACCAAATGCTCCCATCCACGATGGATTTAGCCCAAGAGTGAAGACGATGCAGCAGTGTGGATTTTACCAAAAACAAGGGCTTAGTAAACTAGCACGGTACATTCTCTATAGCAGCCCGGCATGTCTGTGAATAACCTGAGGCAAATCCAGGGCTTGATTCAAAAATGAGTCTTACGAATTGATAAAAGATGGTAGTAGACATGATTTGTTGTGGAAGGGTCGGCGAATGAAAGCGCAGACCCTGCAAGCTTTAGACACGCTGCACCCTGCTGGGTAATCCGTTGTAACAGCTTACGTGGATATCCAAAAAGCTTCCGACAAGATCCCCCTACATCCCTGCTACATAAGCCTAGTGCTGTGGGCATCACATGAACCGTTTTTCAGTGGTTTGCCTCCTAACCATTCGGCAGGAAGTTATTAACAAACTGGAAATAAACAATCAAATCCACCGTCGATCAGTAATAAAGTCGTACAAGGAAGTGTGTTGGGCCACGTTCTCTCCCTAATATATATCCAAGGCATCTTTGGCGCAGCGTTCCATGGCAAAGGCTTCATCTTCTAAGACGATATGAAAATCGCGTTTTTTTCGTCTGCGCAAGCGCTTACCTTTACCAGATTCCGCAAGACATAGACTCGCTGACTCGCTGGCCCAATGAATCTGGTTTGCGTTTTTCTTCTTGAAAATCCCGAGTTACTTCCTGCGGATGCTCCCTCAAGGTTGATGCTTCATGTGTAGTAGGAAACTTGTCACTTGCTCCACAGTGAGCAATTATCTCGGTCTCAGATATTCTTGTACATTCAGCTTCCCCCATCAGTTACAGTTCCAAGTTACCCTAGCATCAGGCTCATCTCTCTAATATTGCACCCCTTTTGCATTCAAGACTCAAAAATTGCCATTTTCAATTCATGCTTAAGTCCGATCTTAGAATTTCGCCTCAAGTTTTTTCCCCTTACACACGAAGTAATGTACTAGCACTCGGAATCGTCCAGCGCTCATTCACGAAAAGGATGTTACCACAGTCAAACCTTCTCTCCCACCGCTCCCGCTGTCAAATTTTGGGCCTTGAACCAGTAGGGCTCAGACGGTTTTATACTAAGTCTATCTCACAGCGTCTGCTGCACAAAAATACCTTCATGGAAGAGGCTAGACCAAAGAGTACTTCATATCCTCGCTATACTTTCCGTAACTCCACCAGCTCCCTACTGTGTCCTCCAGCTTGTGCAAACCTACGCGACTACTACTTATTTCCAGTTACTACAATCGCATCTAGAACAATCTACCTGAGCATCTGCGAAACGACACGCACCGTCATTCTTTTTCGGAATCTGTGGATAAATTACTTATCAGTGAAACTGCTGCCACATAACTTAAAACCTGACTACCCCCCGGTCTCCTCTCCATGAACATTGAAGTGTAACGACGAGATAGTTTTTGGGCAAGTATAAGTTCCCGATATTATGTCCTGCCTATCTCTTTGACTTGCCTCCAACCACTGTAGAGCGCTAAACGCCTGCTCATT